GCTTCTTTATGTAAATGTAAACCTTGGTCAATACTAGTACTTAATACCAATTTCCAAAGGACAATACGATAAACAACAACGTCCAGCTTCATATTGCATATAAAGTAGTACATGCTTGACATCAAGAAATTCCCAATGAGATCACTATGACGACGGTGAAACATTACCATCACTTTCACCAACGTGCATCTATTGACAGCCAAGCCAGTATTAAGTTTCCTGTTGTCGACACCATAATCGCGATCACGAGAATAATCACGAGATTATCCAATCAACTACGACATGTAAACACATTAGGTTGGGTATGCCGGATTGTTGCTCTTCAGAAACGGAAAGTTATCATACAGCTTGGTGTCCCCACTGATTTCGTGGAAGAAAACGATCGAGAGAAGCGGCCGACGTATGTGATGTCCTTGATTTCCAATTCAGGGGTTTTAAACGATGGACAATAAATTTCTTGTTCTTTAATGACAAAACGTCATGGATGCAAATGAAAAATTAACGAGGTCTTTGTGACCAGGTAATGACCACTTCATATGGATAAATAATCAAAACGTCAGCCTAAAGGGGGGTACAGTCCAACACATGTTAAATTTTCGATAAATAAATATGTCTTCGTTATTTAACCCGACCAGAACATTAGTGGAAAGGAAGGAACGAGTACTGATTGATAATTTGTGAACCTTGTATTGAAGGTAAGCAAAGATGTCTTTTCAACTGTACTATTCCCTGACTATTTTAGGCTGTTCACCCGAAGGTTAGTGTCATTTGGTCAGTTTATATCGAAGAGGTAGAAAACTAAAGAGTGAACAAGGCAAGTGACTTTTGCAAAGTGCGACAAAATCACTGAAAGTGCAGTGATTCAATATTTACATTAGAAAGGTATATCACCATACTGATATGGTAGTAACACTTAGATAGATGCCCCTTCATAGGCTACAGTGGAAGCGTGGGTGACGGAATTTAAGCGTGGCAGGCAGAGCCTTGGAGAGGACGTCCTTCCTGGAAGGCCTGTCACTTGCAATCCCGGAAAGGGTAAAAATGTCCATGATATTAGATATATATCACCAGCAAGGTTGAGATTTCACAGGAAAGAATACATTCCATTCATACAGCAGATCCTGCTAGGAAAGACTTCTGACCTTTAATAGCACACCAGGCGGACTTTGTTGTGTACTAATCTAAACCTGTTAGAGGCAGATCCTGCTTACTTTCTGCAGAAGGTTGTGAATATTGATGCAACGTGGGTAGATCATTTCACCCCTCAGAGCCCTAACAACAGTCTAAACAACTGAAGTACCCTCCCTCGGTTTTCTGCGATGCTGCTGGCATTCTGATGGTAGATTATCTGCAAAGGAGAAAATACATATGTATTAAACTCAAGCGCCGCCGAAAACTCAGTAAAGGTGCGTTGTTCCACTAGGACAATGCCCTTGGTCACAGGTCTGTCATTGCCATGGCTGCCATTTACGATAGTGGCATTGAATTGATTTATCCTCCGCCTTATTCGTCTGAACTCGCCTAGACTTTGAACATTTACCAAAGTTGACAAAAGCAATTTCCGATTACCACTTTCGGTAAGATCATGACGTCATCATACTTTCAGAACGGTCAAGAAAAGGACTTCTTTGAAAGTGGTATTTAAGTCCTTAAACATCGCCTGGCAAAAGTGTATAGAAGGGGTTTATGTTGAAAATTAATACAACATGAACGCCAGAAATCAAACCCTTTTATATAAGGCTAAAAAATTAACATCAAAATTAAATTTGAATATTTTTGTACAAGACTGTGATACTTTTTTCTCCATTTCATCTAAGTGCTTGGTGTATCGACATATTATTGATAATGTCTGCCTTCAGTCCTACTTAAGTAAACCATTTTCCTGTAAAGTATAAAATGCATTTGTTAAAGAACGACCGCTTTCACACTATCTAGATATAGACTTCGTCCTTCCTGTAAAATTATATTGATGGCAGATAGCCCACTTCATTTTTTAAATGCCCCTCTTTCATTGAACTAAGAAATACATATATCACATCATATTATCGTGTTAAGCCACCTGTCTACAAATAAACTACCATTTTGATATTAACATTGGGGTCAGTCATACCCGTGTCCATCACTACCATTTTGATATTAACATTGGGGTCAGTCATACCCGTGTCCATCACTACCATTTTTATATTAACATTGGGGTCAGTCATACCCGTGTCCATCACTACCATTTTGATATTAACATTGGCGTAAGTCATACCCGTGTCCATCACTACCATTTTGATATTAACATTGGCGTAAGTCATACCCGTGTCCATCACTATCATTTTGATATTAACATTGGAGCAAGTCATACCCGTGTCCATCACTACCATTTTGATAATAACATTGGCGCAAGTCATACCCGTGTCCATCACTACCATTTTGATATTAACATTGTCCATCACTACCATTTTGATATTAACATTGGGACAAGTCCTACCCGTGTCCATCACTACCATTTTGATATTAACATTGTCCATCACTACCATTTTGATAATAACATTGGGACAAGTCATACCCGTGTTCATCACTACCATTTTGATATTAACATTGTACATCACTACCATTTTGATATTAACATTGTCCATCACTACCATTTTGATATTAACATTGTCCATCACTACCATTTTGATATTAACATTGTCCATCACTACCATTTTGATAATAACATTGGTGTAAGTCATACCCGTGTCCATCACTGCCATTTTGATATTAACATTGGGACAAGACCTACCCGTGTCCATCACTACCATTTTGATATTAACATTGGGACAAGACCTACCCGTGTCCATCACTACCATTTTGATATTAACATTGGAGCAAGTCATACCCGTGTCCATCACTACCATTTTTATATTAACATTGTCAGCCATATTGAATGGTTTTATTTCCATTGAAGTGGTAGGCATGAAGTTCACGACAATTCATAATAACAGTCTGAAATTGTTAATTATATCGCCAAACTATTTCCTATTTTCTTAATAATAATACCCTTTTCATGTGTTTTGAGATTCCTACTGAAATAAATATTCGGTTTTAATAATCAGAATAATTATTCTGCTGGAAATTTAAGGCTGGATGCATCAAGAAATTTATCGAACGTACGTAACGCCATTTTAAATATTCAGTTGTTAATATATGAGTTCTTATTGATTTCACGCTATGTCAATAACGGACTTCATGACTTCGATATATGTATATAATTTCGTACTAAATCGTTAGAGATCGATATAAACAGCCGATGAGTCATAAATGTCTATCATTAAAGAATGTTTTTACGTGGCAGGAGTTGTCGACGAAGCAGTCGATGTGTACCTTTCTGAACGCCGGTCTTGAACTTACTTTTTCTGATTTTTCTGTGTATCTTTATATATTTTGGCTTCACATTTATCGAGTTTGATTTTATTTTTTAAGTTAGTATCATCTTCTTATTCTTGTTCTCAATTAAACAAAATGCTATACAAAAATAGCCAAATGATTATTTGAAGTTTATTCCTAGAATCTTATAAGCCAATGTTTCCTTCAAACCAAAAGCAATATCAATTAATATGCATTACCATTATCGTTATATATTGTTATTCTTTCATTAATAGAATTCTTTCAAGGATGAATTGCCCTCGAACATAAAGGTTATTTATACATTAACGTTTACCCTTGACTGGTGGCCTCGTATTTTATGATAAGTCTATTTATGCAGCTTGTCCATAATGCTTTAATTGATGTATATAAATACCTAAAGCCTGTTATCAATTCATGAAGACATCGAAGTGTTTATCGTATTTTCAAAAGCTTGACTTTGATAGGAAAGTAATGAAAAACTCAACTCACATCCGTTTTATTGTATATTATTTGTCGTAGACTTATTGAAAAAATAACACATGCAAGGGAAACAATGAATATATGGTAACCTGTCCAAGAAATCAATACATAACACGCCATCCGTATCAATGGATGTTCTTGGAACAGGCATGCATTTCAAAACACCTTATCATGGTTCCGACATATAGTTTAAATATATTTTCGCGTGAGAATTACCGACCCCAAAAGCATGGCTAGATATTTGTAAGCTACACACTCGTAAGACACATCAATAAATGAAACAAAACAGATACTTAAAATAGAAATATTCGACATTGTATTGTATGTTACAATATCGAACTCAGTCTAGTTTCCTTTGTCTTTTCTGGCAAACAATATACTATGTAGGATGACATGTAGAATGGCAACTATTGGCTTGCACTGATATTCTCTCAATGCTAATTGAAAAGCTGCTTCCTTCATTGTATGGAACAGTGTCCTTCACTATTTGACAATTAGTCCGGGGTAGGTGATATATTATCATACATATAAGCTTAACGAATTAAGTCGATAACTTGTTTGGATAATTGCTGGGTTTATGTCAAACTTAATTGAAAACATGTTCTTAGAAAATCGATGTCAGTCTGTCACATAGGGAGGTATAAGCTAATATGCAGATAGTTTGTCATCGTGCGGAACACTTTGTCACAAAGGGGATTGCTATGAAGGCATCCTGCTCTAACTTCAGTTTACAACAGATACCAAGATGGTCATTATTTTTTTAAGAGGACGTCAATACATATCACCGACTTAAATTATACATAGTGTTAATTGTCTGAAAGTGTATAGATTGCAAGTTGTGGCAGATAAAGGATTTAAAATTTCCATTTAACCAGATCGTGACTGAAACGGCTGCTGGAGATATATTTATATACAAGGCATTGTGTTTATCAGGTGCTGGACTGGAAAATACAGGGACACGTGAAACCACACATCCATGTTGTTGTAACGAAAACGTGGCAACCACACTCAGACGAATATAAAACAGCATGACAGCAGATAGAAGATATTGACGAATACCTACACTAGCTAAACATCAATGTATTTACCAGGGATTTAGTGATAAAGCACAATATGTAAACTTGTAAAGTTGCTTATTTAATAACATGGGTTCGGAAAATTCAAAAGAAAGTAAAGGAAATGGCAGGAATCCTAAGATTTCGACGCCATGTAGTTTACTGGCTCTATACCCACTGTTCACTTATGATGAGAAACATGAAAAACGCATCAATTGTATTAGTGTTAGTCCAAACAATGACTATATATTAACTGGAGGAGAAGATAGCTTTGTTCGAATTTGGGAACTGACCGCTAGGAAATGTGTCGGCACACTTGAAGGTCATCAAAGTTATATAACATGTATTATAGCACTTGAAGAATATGTAGTGTCCGGCAGTGGAGATTATACGGCCAAGAAATGGAATTTTAATGATGGACAACTTTTGCTGAGCTTTGAAGGACATACTTGCATGATTAACAAAATAGAGGTACACGACAACATGTTGTTTTCATCCTCGTTTGACAAAACAACAAGAATATACAACTTTACAACAGGTGAGTGTTTATATACACTGGCAGAGCATACCAAACTAATTTCATCATTGATTTCATTACCAGAATCAGAAATATTACTGACCGGTTCAGGCGACGGAACTGTCCGAGCATGGAAGTTTACAACTTGGGAAACGGTTTTGACGTTTACAGCTAATTCAAAGCCGATTCTTTGTGTCCAAGTGGATTTAGACAAACGTCTTCTATACACGGGAGGGGACGATGATATCGTACGACAATGGGATCTGGACACCGCTGCCCCTAAAGCACGTTTTATAGGTCACTCAGCCGCAGTTCTTTGTCTCTGTGTAAGTATTTGATTGTTTATTGTGTAACCATGTGATAGGGAATTTGAAATGATTTTGTTTTGTTGTGACAAGTACTTTACCCGAATTTTTTTATCCAATCATTGGACGATATGACTGGATAGTTCATTTCTGTTTATTTATTTGCTTGTAATCGTCAGAAAATATGGAAAATTATACTATTTAGAACGTCACAGTAGTGTTTTTACACGTATGCCCGGCTTCTTTTACGACATCGGTATTTTATAGCACTAAGTTAAATCTCCGGATATATTATACCATCCCTAAATGTCTACAGTCTCAACTTCGCATCATTGTGCATGTTAAAATTAACTTTCTAACTTCTAGTTCGGCTGAATCTTTCGTCCTGAACTTTCAAAACAAGATATGAAATATCAACACAATGATAATTCTGAATTAAACCTGATGCTGTCAGGGCAAAACACGATCACATGATCATTTATATTTAACGAGTTTGGTAGAAATTTAATAAATATTCGAGTAGTCCTGAAACTCGCTATGTTAATCCATCATACTTTGTATAATATATTTACATGACAATACGAATGATTCTCCTAGTATCGTTTGTTATGCTTATGTTTATTTCAACAATGAAGTATATCTGTTTTTATATCGTCATTTCCCTTATTTGTCTGTGATATAGAAACCATTGAGTATCAGATTATTAATGTAATGAGAATCCATACTGTAAATGTTGTCATTTCCGTGAGGTTCCCCCCCCCCCGATATTTATTGGAGTTGATCGAAATCACGAAAAAAAAAAAAAAAAAAACCCACAAAGGTGTGGATGTAAATATCAATATGATTTTATTATTATTGATAACGTGTATGGTTAACTAACAACACAGGAACTACCGACAAATGAACAGAATGTCAATTTAAATTCGATGAAACCATGACAAATCACGAACAAAACATGATTTTCACGGGTAAAACCTCACTGGTGTTATAGCGTACGAACACCCGATATATACTCAACAAAAAAAGAAAGGTTAACATGTTTCCTTGGCGAATACCTGTAATTGAGAGAAAACAAAATGGCGTTTGTGCAATATTAGAAAATGGTAATGTTTTACATTACAAAATCCAAGGGGGTTACCAAAATCATTCAAGCGTGAAAGTCTGTATTAGCGAAAGAGCTGCACGAGGTTTTATGCGACTAACTTGTATCTTCGCTTGAATTTCATAAACATTCAAACTGACAACTGTTCCTTAGATCGTTAGGACTTAGAAATCACCGGATCGTGCTATCTATCAACTTTATCATTATGCCCCGGCTGTCACAAGTACAGAGAGAAAGGGCTGTAGGCATGATCCAGACTGGAGAGTCTCGCCGTCGAGTTGCACGGCATTTTGGTTGCAGTGTTAAGACAATTTGCCAGTTGGTAAGTCGTTTAAACCAAACTGGGTTAACATCCGATCGTCCTCGAAGCGGCCGACCCCGTAAAACGACCGCAAGGGATGACCGTCGTATACGATTGATACACTTGCGCAATCGATTAGCAACTTCAGTAGATGCTACAAGGACATTGTTTGGGCGTCGTGTGTCTCCCCAAACAGTCCGCAACAGGTTGAGGGCCTACCAGTTGAAAGCGCGGCGTCCCTACACTGGACCCAATTTGTTGCGACGTCACCGTAATAATTGGCGTAACTGGACCCGTGTTCACCGTCGATGGGCCTTACGACAATGTAACAATGTTCAGATGAGTCCAGGTTTTGTCTGCAACACGATGACGGAAGGCGCAGAGTGTGGAGGCGACGAGGGGAGCGTTTTGCGAACTGCTGCGTCGCAGAACGGGACCGTTTTGGCGGCGGAAGTGTAATGGCTTGGGGTGGTATTTGTGGGGGGACTCGTACCAGGATTGTTGTGTTAAATGGCAATTTAACCGGCATTCGATATCAGGACGAAATTTTAAGACCAGTGGTTCTGCCATTCTTAATACGCCATGGCGTTGGCGCCATTTTTCAACAGGATAACGCACCAGCGCACACCAGTCGCGTCAGCAGAACTTTCTTGCAGCAGAATAACGTACAGGTGTTAGATTGGCCATCTAAATCACCTGATTTGTCACCGATTGACTGGGACGTTCTTGGGCGACGCGGGAGAGAACGTCAAAATCAGCCGTCAAACTTGCAGGAGCTGGCCCAAGCCTTGATTGCTGAATGGAATAACATCTCTCCTCGAATTATCCACCGGTTTACGAGTTCCATGCGACGACGCTGCAATGCTGTTTACTTCGCAAACGGTGGCCATACCCGTTACTAATGGTGTTACCTTTGAAATTGACCCCAACGTCCTTTACAGTATCAACATCAAACAAAAACATTAGAAACTCAACAAATAAAAAGGAAGAAACGAAAGAGAGAGAAAAAAAGAAATTTCAACAGGGGAAACTCGGTCACTTTATGAAAGAACCGATAATAGAAACGTGTACGGAACAAATACGGAAAATAATGCTGCTAACGGTGAAAGTAATACACATACCAGCACAAGTCTGTAGCAGTCGACTAACCGGAAGTGGCACGATTCGTATGCTGACGCGAGTCGGAATTCGAAGGAGGCGGCGTCATTTGTTCCACACAGACGTAAGTACGCGATCAGTGTTCGACATGTAACAGACAACGTCGTGTATAACATTGAAACTATAACTACAGGATACCGGTTCGTAGGCGTTGATCGTAGGCCTGGGGCGAAAAGGATTGTCATGCCTAGAGTGTTAGGGGATACGACGGACGCAAATGTCTTTGAGAAAGTCAAAGGGTATGCTCTCCACACAGGGTAAACGTCTTAAGCGAACTCTATGACAAAATAGTTGCGGAGGGATTTTGGCCGAGTAATGACAAGGGATCCCAGACAGCGAGAGGGAATACCTAAGCGAAAATGTAAATACTAAGATTCTTCCAAATTGTCGAGGATTGAAACCTTGACGTGATGTTCCGTTGTTGAACTTGGTTATTACCGGAACATGATATGACTTAGAGAGAGTAAATACATATTTTGCCTTATATTCTCGTGCGGTCATACGGATTTCCATAGATGTATCAGATAGTCAGTTCGCGAGGATACGGAGATTTAGCGTTTGTATGGAGACGTAGTATTGATGTTATTCCACTACAGAAAGGTGGGAATGATCGAATATTGGCGATTCGCGTTCGCGTAATAAACCAGCCAGACAGTTATATAGTTAGATTACTAATGCTGTCTACAAAAGGAAGTCTTAACGACTACTGAAGTTCACTGGACATAGTAGAATCACGTAACGATAAGTACGAACAAGAAAGAGCAGTCTTCATTGCAGAAGATATGAATGGAACATTATCACGTGTCTATGGCGCCAAGATAACGGCGTTCACGCTTACACATGTGACTGTATGTAGTATACTACAGTTTCTACATATAACAGAGAGGCAACGAATATCAGTCAACAGATCATCGCGGTCCACGGGACCAAACTTCACTTCATGCAATAGTAATCTGAAATCGCTCATTGACCTTTTTTTGTGCCGTATCATAAAGTTGACTTTGAAAACCGTTGTTGGGTTATAGACTACGAGCTAATGATATGTCCGACCACTTTCCTGTGCTCTTTAAATACTATGGTTGTTCTGCTACTTCATATCAACATGGGACTCCTTTTGTTACATTCAACTGGAAGAAAACTACAACTGAGCAACTTAAAAATATCAAACCGGTGTGGAATGCAACCTTAGGAACGTGAAATTATGTTATAGCAATTACAGGTTAGAAGAGCTTGATGACTACCTCACAGTGTCTGGTATAACTATTAGTTTGGACTTACGAAACCAAGCGAGGACAATTCATTCGACGCCGACCTCAAGGCTTATATTGAAAACAAGTGGAAATATATCTAAATGATCAGATGGCAGTGAGTGTGATTAACTAGGAGGTAAGATAACAAACGAAGAAGTGAAGAGTTCTATAAAAGACATGAAACCTGACAAATCACGACATTCTCATCCGGGGACATTGTTTATATGCAGGTGGCACTAATGTTAAATGAAGTTTTCAACTCTCTTTGGTGAGTGAGAAATATCCAACGTATTGAAAAAAGAAATTGCTATAAGTTTGTTCAATGGCGATAGTCAATAGTTATCGCGACATTATACATACCACCGTGTTGCTGAAAATTTTCGAAAAAGCTCTATAATGTAGAATATTGCAACGATCGGACGACACGGGTTTTCCTGCATTCTTACGACAAGGTTTCCGACCAGAGTGTGGTAGTATTACCCCGGATTTATCATTAAGGAAAGCATTCTACACTATCGAAGGACTACAGATTTAATAGGATTCAAACGGATTGTTTTACAAGTTATCGAAACTAGGCTTCATCTGACAAGATATACCGATTGCTTTGGGACTCATTAAGATCAGTAACATCACGTGTTTTGTTTTGATGACGTCTATCGGAACCCTATGACGTTATGCAGAGCGTCGGTCAAGGCCGAGTGTTATCGGCAAGGCTATTTTTAGTAATGATCAATGACCTGGCCATAGAACTTAACCTTTCTAAGAGTGGACTCTTCATGGGTGATATTCATGTACCTGGACTATTCCGTGCTGACGATCCTGTTGACACCGTATATAGAAGCTAAACAAAATGGCGAATGAAGTGCAAGAGTGAAAATAGTGGAGTTATGGCTTTCCGAACCCAACCCCCCCCCTACACACAGCACACACACAGCACACACAGCACACACACAGACAACAGAGTCTATGTCAACCAACATTCTTTATTGAACCAGAACAAATACCTTACAAACAGCTGTTTTTGATGCTGTTCAATTCATTGTTTGACTCTACTGTGTTTCACTCTAAAATTTTCACTTGTGTGTCTTTTGTACAATCTACTAGGAATATTCGGGTTTGCTTATATCATTTACACTGACAAGCGACGATTGTATATTACAACATATGGAAAAATTGAAAGTGATTAAATTCGCTCATAGGTTTGGGAATCAACAATAACAGA